TTCACCCCTTTGGGCTGGCATCACAGCTCCCTGGAGCAGCTGAGGGAGGAGAACGGGGAGAAGAAAGCCATGGAGAGGCTGCTGTGAGCACGCCGTGTGCCCCGCTGTCCCTGTGCTTTCTAGTTCTTTAACCTTTTCATAGGGTAGACACACACTGGAGTGCTGTACCTCCTCAGAGCTCATCTTATCGCAGGTGTCTGCTGCGATACCAGTCCTCTCCTCTTCCCTCCTCATTCCTCAGATAGCGCCCCTGAGGGGTGTGCGCTGAAACTGGCAGGTTGTGGGTTCGAATCCCGGGTGGGGTGCTGCCATCGTACCGCTGAGGTCCTGTACTCATATCGCCACCCTGCTGTTCCAATGGAAGTTGTTTTGGCCTGTATCATCAGCCGAATCAGTAGTAATTAGTAAATTCGCGTAATTTACTATTTAGCATCACTCCATTCCATTGGAAGCCAGTGTTTAAAGGAGTAGCATCCATCCATTTCCTGACCACTTCTTCCAATTGGGGGGTCATCTGGGATGCGGGAACCCATCCCCGCAAGCAGTGGGCGCAAGGCAGGGTACACCCTGGATAGGACGCTAGTCCATCGCAGGGCACACATCCACAAACACACACATGCTCCAGGGCCAGTTTTCCCAGGAGCCAGTTCATCTACCAGTATGTCTTTGGACTGTGGAAGGAAGCTGTGGCACCTGGAGGAAACCAACAGCAGCACAGGGAGAACATACAAACTCCATGCAGACAGCGGCCCAGGTCTGGAATTGAACATGGGGCCCCAATGCTGACCACCGCGCCATCGTGCCGCCCTCCTTGGGTGTTAGTGTATTAAAGATATCATTTTCAAAATGACACCTCGTGTCTGGGTCCTCTGAAACGTCCTCTGATCGCTCTGTCGCATGCAGCTCTGCCAACCACAACCACATGATGGCGCTCCTGCAGCAGCTGCTGTACAGCGAGTCCCTGTCGCTGTCCTGGCGCGACGTCATCGTGCCCGTGGTCAGGCAGGTGGTGCAGACCGTGCGCCCGGACGTGCGCGGCAACGACGACGACATGGACATCCGGCAGTTCGTGCACGTCAAGAAGGTGAGGCCGGCGCTGACCCGCCGCGGGGCGGGAAGATGAGACCGACCTGCGGCATGGAGTCCCTCTTCTCTTGGGTGGGGAATGTCAGATTAAACGTTGACTCGGCTATCTTTTACTTCCTTCTCCTTCTCCTGACGTTTCCCAGTCCCCTTGCTGCAGGGATCTTCAGTCCTGCTCCTGCAGGATTAGTGTGTTCTTGGCTCTTATCAAAGCATTACTCCTGAGTTCAAGCTGAAGTGCAACGTGTTCGGTTGCTGTTGTTGTTTTTTGGCACAGATTCCCGGAGGGAAGAAGTTTGATTCAGCTGTTGTGAATGGCTTTGTTTGCACCAAGAACATAGCCCACAAAAAGGTAAGGAGCGTCATTGAGCGTTTGGAAACCATTGGTTGTGTCTGGTCGTGCTCTTCCGAAAGCTAAGGGCACTTGCACAGGCCGGCTATTTTAATCAAAGAGTTAATCATTTGCCTTAGGGACGGCTGGCTTGTTAGTTTTGTATCTCATGACATTCTTAGGACTTCAAGCAGTTGGCTTAGACTCCGGGGGAAAGAGAGGCTTTAACTCTTCCTGCCCAGCCTCAAATGTCATTCCCATACTGGAATACTTGGAATATCTGTGAACCTCTCTACAGGGATGTGGCAGAGCAGTAGAGGCTTGAATATTTTTTTGGGGTGGTAAAACGATCCTCTGCGTGTTAAAAAGGGCCGCAGGAGTAATGGAAGAGCGGTAGCGCAGTGGTGGTGTCTCTCGTTGTTGCCCGCAGATGAACTCCCACATTAAGAACCCCAAGATCCTGCTGCTGAAGTGCTCCATCGAGTACCTGTACAGGGAGGAGACGAAGTTCACCTGCATCGATCCCATCGTGCTGCAGGTCAGTCCTGGTCAGCGTGTCCCGGCTGGACTGCCCTGCAGGGGCTGCTCTGGGAGGGTGTTACGAGTAGATCCTTGCACGTCAGTCCGTGGGTTGTTGATGTGTGCTCTGTGAGTGATGCCCATCGCATTGTGTGTCTTTGTGTGCCTGAGGACTGTATTCTAGAGGTCCGCTAGTGTCTAAGAAGCGGGAACTTAAAGTCACTTGGAGTCTTGGGGTGACCTTAAAATGTTCCCGGCAGGAGCGAGAGTTCCTGAAGAACTACGTCCAGCGGATCGTGGATGTGCGACCCAACCTGGTGCTGGTGGAGAAGACGGTGTCCAGGATAGCCCAGGATATGCTTCTCGAACACGGGATCACCCTGGTCATCAATGTCAAGCCTGTACGTAACGCCCGAGGGTGGGGAACAGCATGGAGCGGCAGCTGATCAGCCCCCTTTCCTTTCCCTGCTGGAGGGGGGCCTGCGCAGCTGCCTGCCTGCCTGCCTGCCCCGCCGTCAGTGGGTCCGTGCGTCCTGACTCTCTTTGCCGAGTGTAGTGGAAACGGACAGTCTCGTGCACCTTCATGGATTTAAAATGGAGATGGTGGCACGTTTGCACCAAATGTGAGATTCTTAAAGAATCCGACTTTTTGGTTAATCGATCTTTTTGCTTGATGGGGACGATTCCCTGCTGGCGCTGATCGTGTAGCTCAGTACGAGGGTGGCACGCAGCCGCCGGGGGGGTGAAGCAGTCCGCCGGTGACGCAGGTGGACTTGTGCTCTTCCCACAGCAAGTGCTGGACCGAGTGAGCCGGATGACCCAGGGAGACCTGGTGATGTCCATGGACCAGCTGCTCACCAAGCCCCACCTGGGCACCTGCCACAAGTTCTACCTGCACTCCTTCCAGCTGGCCAACGGTAAGGACCAGCACACACAGGCCCTCCCCCCCCCCC